GACAGAACCCTGCAGCAGTGACCAGGACCAGACAGAACCCTGCAGCAGTGACCAGGACCAGACAGAACCCTGCAGCAGTGACCAGGACCAGACAGAACCCTGCAGTGACCAGGACCAGACAGAACCCTGCAGCAGAGACCAGGACCAGACAGAACCCTGCAGCAGTGACCAGGACCAGACAGAACCCTGCAGCAGTGACCAGGACCAGACAGAACCCTGCAGCGGTGACCAGGACCAGACAGAACCCTGCAGCAGTGACCAGGACCAGACAGAACCCTGCAGCAGTGACCAGGACCAGACAGAACCCTGCAGCGGTGACCAGGACCAGACCAGGACCAGACCAGGACCAGACCAGGACCGGACCAGGACCGGACAGAACCCTGCAGCAGTGACCAGGACCAGACAGAACCCTGCAGCAGAGACCAGGACCAGACAGAACCCTGCAGCAGTGACCAGGACCAGACAGAACCCTGCAGCAGTGACCAGGACCAGACAGAACCCTGCAGCGGTGACCAGGACCAGACCAGGACCAGACCAGGACCAGACCAGGACCGGACCAGGACCGGACAGAACCCTGCAGCAGTGACCAGGACCAGACAGAACCCTGCAGCAGTGACCAGGACCAGACAGAACCCTGCAGTGACCAGGACCAGACAGAACCCTGCAGCAGTGACCAGGACCAGACAGAACCCTGCAGCAGTGACCAGGACCAGACAGAACCCTGCAGTGACCAGGACCAGACAGAACCCTGCAGCAGAGACCAGGACCAGACAGAACCCTGCAGCAGTGACCAGGACCAGACAGAACCCTGCAGCAGTGACCAGGACCAGACAGAACCCTGCAGCAGTGACCAGGACCAGACAGAACCCTGCAGCAGTGACCAGGACCAAACAGAACCCTGCAGCAGGGACCAACCTGGAGAATCCAGCCAGGAGACTCCAGGCCCAAGTGGATCACCAGCAGGTTAGAGGCTGATAGAGAGTTATTAAGTATTAAAATCCAATAAGCCTAATTCTAAAGGTTAGCATGATGCTTTTTGCATTTTTTATTGTGTCTGTTTATGCATTTCCAGTTAAGTTCCAGAGAGAGATGAGGGTGATACAGAGTCAGACTCTGGGGAGGAAGACAGTGAAGCAGGAGGAAATGGCACTGAACTGCCCCCACCCAGCACAACCTATTGCACACCAGAAGCACCAGTTTATTTATTGATTTATTTATTTTTGAGAATTTGTTTTTGGTCATATTCTGGGCTCTGAGTTTACATTTCCATGTTCACTGTTCCATAGAGCCGTTTAACGTCTTGTTTGGTCATGGCAAATCTTAGTTAAATAAACCATTTTAATCTGAGTGTGTGTGAGAAAATATTTGTTTCCTTTCGTTCATCATTTGTATATGGACCCTCTGATAAAGCCTTGCTCAGCCTTTGGCCACCCCTTGAAAAAAAGTCTAGCTCCGCCACTGCAGAAAGACTCTGCAGATTGTAACAGCCGCTGCGTGGGGCCCAGGATTCCTGGCAGCATCACCAGGCCTGTCTGTTTTGGGCCTCATGTGATCTGCAGCCTGACGGAAGTTTAGATGCGACTCAGTTAAAACCTCAATCCCGGCATGAAACGGAATCCGGTTCGGTCCACTTTATCAACAGTCCAGAACTTCCTGGGTTTCGTGTTTTTTCAGGTTTGTCATCTGCTTTTACGCGCAGTCACGGGTCAATGACTCAGCTTGTTCTGGCGAGCAAACACGACCGAGAATCACCCGAACTGGGCCCAGTAAGGCTCCGACAGCGGCGGGTGCAAAACCAGGCGCTGCTGCGTTCAGGGGCCCGACGGGGCGTGGGACCTCTGATAACCTGTGAAAGGATGAAAAGCTGACTGAAACTAAAGAAATATGAGACAAACATATGGAGACAATGACGCCTTCTAGAAAACTATTGTCCTATTTGTGAAGCAGAAAGCTCATTTTTAAAGTATAAACTGTTTGGTTACAACAAACTATATAACAAACACTGAGACAGAATAATAAGACGCGCACAGATTTGAATGACTGCGCTTGATGATTTCTGGTGGTTCCGTTTCCCACAACACACGGTCCGTAAACGCAGCACGGAACAATGGTCTGTTTGCAGCCGAGGCAGAGCGTGATGGTCCGCGCCGTGTGCACAGCCGCAACACGACGCCTCGCATGTTGGGCTCGTTTCCAATAAAATAGGAACTTAAGTCAGATTTAAAAACCCGCGATGGACTGCCGACCCGTCCAGGTGACCCGGCGACCCGTCCAGGTGACCCGGCGACCCGTCCAGGTGACCCGGCGACCCCTGGCGTTTTTCTCAAAAAATAAACATGTTTTCAAATAAAAAGTTTAAATTGCAGGAAAAGACAAAAAAGATTGATTAAATGATTAATCAGTCCAAATGAAATATCTGAAGAGTTTTATGAATGTTCACAATAAGGCAACAGAAAACTCTTCAAAGAGATGCATGCTGTGACGTCATCAGTTACAAAAACCTCCAGATGTTTTGTTTTGATTTCACAGTAAAATCATTATTATTATTATTATTATTATTATTATTATTATTATTATTATTAGGGCGGGGGTTATAAACACTGCTTATGTGAAGAACTCCGCGGTTCTGCTGGTCCGGGTCAGAACCGGGACACTCGGTGCCGTTATGTAACGTTCAGGGACCAATCCGTCCTCTCATCAGGGACGTGTGTCTTTGTCCCCGCCGTGTGCAGAGCGCTCTGCGCGTGCGCAGTGCGTATGTTTGCGCCCGGCTCGGCAGGCTGCGCTGCGCTATAAAAGAAGCGCCTCCAACCCGGAGCCACATCAGCTGATCCACATCTGCAGACCCGCACCGCCTCCGCTCAGACATGGATCCCTGCGACTGCGCCAAGAGTGAGTATCTGGTTCCGGTTCTGGTTCTGGTTCTGTAGTTTGGAGGCTGATCTGGTTTTCTCTCCTTCAGCTGGAAAATGTAACTGCGGAGGTTCCTGCACCTGCGCAAACTGCTCCTGCAAATCCTGCAAGAAAAGTAAGAACATCTTCATCTTCCTCTCTCCAACTGCTTTTAGCTGGAAGCTCCAGTTTCCCTGGTGGAACTGGTGGGACTGGTGTCCAGCTGCTGGTTCTGCTGCTCAGCGTCCTGATCTTTGCTGCTCTTTCCTCGCAGGCTGCTGCTCTTGCTGCCCATCAGGCTGCAGTAAATGCGCCTCTGGCTGCGTGTGCAAAGGGAAGACCTGCGACAAGAGCTGCTGTCAGTGAAGCGCCCGACCCCCTCCCCCACCTGCTGCTGAGGAGGAAAATCTTTCCTTGTTTCCATGTTGTAGAAAATGTTTTGTACTTGTCTTGAAATAAAAACGTGTCAGTATTGTGATGTTTTCCGTGGTTGGTCTCTTCATGCTGAGCTGGAAATATTGCAAGCTGCTCCAGCCTTGAACTCCTGCTCTGACCAGTCACACCAGTCTGAGGTCCTTAACCTGCAGACTGGTGTGAAACTGGAACAGAACCAGTAACGCAGAGTTCAGTCTGACCTGCTTGGCCTGGAGAAGAAGGGTCCAGTTCTGATGATCCGCTCGCTGCTCCAACGCATTCAGAACCTGACTCAGGTGACAGAGGGGGCAGGACACCCTGCCAGTCAGCTGGCTGAAAAGCAACTTGAAACCTGGGTAACTGTTCTGCTCTATCATGTTGCCCTAAAGGCTCTGCCCTAGTGGCTCTTTAGCGCCGCCCTAGTGGTTGTGCCCTAGTGGCTCTTTAGCGCCGCCCTAGCCAATATGGCTGTTTCAACATGTCGGGTACTTGAACCCTGGCCTGGGGTCTTAGCACCAACCAACATGGAGTCTTTTACAGTCCCTGCTGCTCTTATTGACAAACCCACCAAGAAACGGCGTCAAAGTAAATACATGCACGCAAACAAACCAAATCTTTAGAATAATATGTTAGCAAATACTATTCATTTTTAAGCAGACATTACATTTCTAAAAAGACATTTCTATAAATATAAATCCAACATTAAACTTGTAGTGCATAGCTCTATTGCTCCCCTTGGTCTCTTGCTTTTAATCTCAACTAAAAACCAGCTGTTTAGAGTTTTATTTGAAATGTAATATGTATTATTAATGTATTGTTAGGGTTAGGGCTAACCTTTTAGCCTGAACACCCTGCAGAGGAAGAGACAGAGGTAAGACACATCCACACAAAACATTTCAGTGCATCTCAGTCACAATACTTCTATCCATTTGAACAGGACACCATCAGTTCCAGCTGAGATGCCACTGCATAAAACACACAATCGATAAAATACTTCAACCTGTTTGTTTCTGTGATCATTCAACACATATTTTTCCAGCTGAGTAAAGAAGACATTTATTACAAAAGAAGACATAGACCTTAAAGATGAAAAATTACAATTTCTCTCTGAGTTTTACAGAAGAAATGACCAGGTCTGCTTAAATGGCATAAAGTATATTCTTAAAGGTTTTGGATCAGATATAATTTCTAAAATTAGAACTTTTCTTTCAAAGTATTCTGTGTCACATCCAGCCCACAAATCCTTTTCTAAAGACTACATTCAGATGTGAACCTGCTGGATGCTGATTCTGATGATCTTTTCTTCCAGCTGCAGACTTGGAGCAAAATGACTCTGAGGATCCAACTGCCAAATGAGTGCAACAAGAAATACGTTTGGTGTTTAATTCCAATGCTCCAAATGTTTTATTAACAATATAGCTTTACTGGGAAAGTTTTTTTTCCCAAGTGTATATAACTGGAAAGAAATCCTAAAATGTTTTGTAAATCTCTATATGTGAATAAAAGTAAATGTGCTCAGTAACTTCACTTAAACTTCACCAACTTTGTTTCGATAGAAACTTATTGAATGCAAGCCAAACGTTTCTCCGTATTAATATTGCTGCCTTGTTTTATTTGTAAACGGTTTTCGAAATAAAAGAAGGAAACTACGCGGAACTAAACTTCGGACGCTGGTTTCTTCAGGAGCGGCGGAAGTGGCGGCCACCGGAAGCAGAGAGCCGCTTCCTCCATAACAGCGCTGCTGCTCTGGGCTCCCGGCGGCCTGGGAAAATGCCTAAGGTGGTCTCCAGGAGCGTGGTCTGCTCCGACACCCGGGACCGGGAGGAGTACGACGACGGCGAGAAGCCGCTCCACGTCTACTACTGCCTCTGCGGCCAGATGGTTCTGGTTCTGGACTGCCAGCTGGAGAAGCTGCCCATGCGGCCCCGGGACCGGGCCAGGGTCATCGACGCCGCCAAACACGCGCACAAGTTCTGCAACGTGGAGGAAGAGGAGCAGGCCTTCATCAAGAGGCCGGAGGGCATCGAGCGGCAGCACCGCAAGAAGTGCGGGAAGTGCGGGCTGCTGCTGTTCTACCAGCATCAGGACAAGAACAGCCCGGCCACCTTCATCGTGGACGGAGCCGTGGTGAAGTTCGGCCAGGGCTTCGGCAACACCAGCGTGTACAGCCAGAAGCCGCCGGAGGCCCCCAAGAAGGTCCGGGTGATGATGACCAAGCGGACCAAAGACATGGGCAAGTTCAGCTCCGTCACCGTGTCCACCATCGACGAGGAGGAGGAGGAGATCGAGGCCCGGGAGGTGGCCGACTCCTACGCCCAGAACGCCAAGGTGATCGAGAAGCAGCTGGAGAGGAAGGGCATGAGCAAGAGGAGGCTGCAGGAGCTGGCCGAGCTGGAGGCCAAGAAGGCCAAGATGAAGGGCACGCTGATCGACAACCAGTTCAAGTAGGACAGAGGAGAACTGGGAGCTGTGGGTGGGATCTGCTGATGCTGATGGGGAGGTTCCACTGCTCAGCCTGGATCTGATGATGCTGATGGACTCTTGGCGCTGCCAGAACAACCTCACACTCTGAAACCTGCTGCGATGCGTTTAATGAACGGGGGAAATGGGATTGTTTTGTATTTCTGACTAACTCTTGTTTCACTAGTTTTTGTTTTCTACAATAAAGTTAATTGTAAAAACTTGCTGTTTTTCTGAAGCAGATGGCGGTTCTGGTCGGGTACCTGAGTCCAGCAGAACCTCTGTGGGCCATTAACAAAGCTGTACCTAATAATGTGGCCCCTGAGCATACAGAGGGTAGAATCAATTCTGTTGGTTTCAGAACTGATGCTGTTTATTTGGCATCAAAGCCATTTTAGGAAATGATTCACAAGAAGAAAAATCTCATCAAAAGTCACTGTAAAGAAACGAGGCGAGGTCAAAGGTCATTCCACTCAACAGGAAGTTCTGCCTGCTTTTTTCAGATTTGGAGCAACTGGAGACCATCAGGAGAAAAATGTGAGTGAAAACTGGATCAGGAGAATAATGCAGGAATAGCCATCTGACCTTTGACCTTGGAAATACAGAAGAGCGCTGGAAGGTCTGATGAGCCTGAAGCTGTCAGTGTTCCAGAACCAGACCCGTCTTTATTGGGCTGAAAGATGAAGAGACCGCTCTGCAGAACCTTATCGGGTCAGAACCTTCCAGAAACAACGATGGTGACGTCAAATCGGTCCAGGTGGACTGAACCAATTCGAAACCTCCACAGTCTCCTATCTCATTATAATGAGATACTATCTCATTATAATGAGATACTATCTCATTATAATGAGATAGTATCTCATTATAATGAGATACTATCTCATTATAATGAGATAGTATCTCATTATAATGCATTATAATGAGATACTATCTCATTATATTGAGATACTATCTCATTATTTTGAGATAGTATCTCATTATAATGAGATAGTATCTCAATATAATGAGATAGGAGACTGTGGAGGTTGAACCCCCTTTCGAATTGGTTCAGTCCACCTGGACAGATTTGACGGTACCATCTGTCGCGCCTGCCGCCTGGAATCACCTAGCTAAATGTAGCTATTTACAACGGTAAGAATTGTGGTTTTGTTAATTTAAATTAAGTCTGCAATATAAGCTAGCATAGTATAAAGTAATCAATTTGTTATACTGACGACGGTAGCTAATTTTGAAGATATCAAAATTAGCTACCGGTTTCTGTTTCTTCACTTCGTCAGTGCACAACTGACTTTTCGTTGATTGTAGTTAATATCTGAGGATTACGTGGTACGTTTATTTGCTGTAATGATACATGTTCAGTCTACCACAAAGTGTAATAACTGGTGAGTAGTTCCTAGATGCTGCATCACGCTCCCAAACCATTGCGACGCCAAAACGATACCTCTAGCCTATGTATTTTTTTAAGTTAAACTAAAATATGTCGTGGCATTTTATGTCACGTACTCTGTCAGAATCTCTCTCTTTTATTAAATTTTAAATACTTTATGTACCTGGTCCCCAAGCAAATAAATAAAATAATAAATAATTGTTTTGTCTGTTTGCAAATCAATTTCTTTGATTTAATCAGTAAGTTCAAGTAACAAACAAAACATTATGTGCTTGGTTTTGTACAGTGCAGGTTGTTTCAGAAAGAGAAGAGTGGATGGTGTGCACCAGCTGGATTTTCACAAGCCTTAACTCATCACACAAGCGGTATAAGTGACTTCTCTGCTATAGTGTGTTTCTCCAGTTCTCCATTGAAAGACCTTTATGCTCCTCAGACAGCTTCATTTTATGTTTTCTTTCCTTTTCTACTGCTAAAGACATTGTCAGTATGGAACGGTACAGTTCTTTGTTATTACCAATAAATATTTTCTTATCTTTTCTGTGAATTTAAAGAGGTTTCTCAAGATGTGTCCATTTAAACCACTGTATATGCATAAATTTGTGTAATTACACAAATAAAATAACTGTGGTAATAGTTATTATAAAACAAAAGTTTAAAAAGATGCATTCCATTTTCTGTTCACCCTTGTTCCTATTGGGGTTGGGAGTTGCTGCTGCCTCTCCAGCTTCGTTCCAGGCGAGAGGTGGGGTCACCTGGACAGGTCGCCAGTCTGTCAAAGGGCAACATAGAAACAAACAGGACAAACAACCATGCACACACACACACACTCACACCTAGGGAGAATTTGGAAAGACCAATTACCCTGACAGTCATGTTTTTGGACAGCGGGAGGAAGCTGGAGTACCCGGGGAGAACCCACCATGCACAGGGAGAACATGCAAACTCCGTGCAGAAAGACCCCGGGCAGGGAATCGAACCTATGACCTTCTTGCTGCAAGGCAACAGTGCTACTAACTGCACCACTGTGCAGGCCCCCTAGTAAAATCATTTCACAAAAAAATAAATAAATTGCGCTTAAAGGAATTATGAATGTCCCGGCCCGGGGTCTTTCTGCATGGAGCCTGCATGTTCTGTGCATGGTGGGTTCTCTCCGGGTTCTCCAGCTTCCTCCCACAGTCCAAAAACATGACTGTCAGGGTAATTGGTCTTTCCAAATTCTCCCTAGGTGTGAGTGTGTGTGTGCATAATTGTTTGTCCTGTCTTTCTCTGTGTTGCCATGCGACAGACTGGCAACCTGTCCAGGGTGACCCCGCCTCTCGCCCAGAACGCAGCTAGAGATAGGCACCAGCACCTCCCAACCGCACTAGGGACAATGGTGTTAGAAAATGGATGGATAAATGGCATTATGAATTATAATTAATTTTTCAGGAAAATTATAATTTGTAGTATGACTTGATTTACATTTTATTGGAAACATGATGGTCTTGTGTATCTTCACCTTCCAGTGTATGATCACAGAATGGATGACCTGAGTGATTTCCTGAGACAAAGAAATATTCCTGAGGAAACTATTGAGACCATGCTGAGAGAGAAGGTACAAGCTAAAAAATAAATCAGTATTTCAAAAACTACAGTTTGTTTAAGGCATGTGTCTAGCAATGTTATATAATTGAATTCAAATAATTTGCATGCAATTCTAGTTCCATAAGTTTTAAAATAAATTATTTTTTATTCTTCTTGTTTAGATTGATAGCAGTGTCATCCAACTCATGACAGATGAAGAGCTAAAGAGTTATTTGCCATCATATGGAGACCGCATCGCCCTATTAGGATACTGTAAAAGGAAGGAAACTGGTCCCCCAAACAGTCGCAAATCAAAACTGTTTGAGCGCCTGAAATCAAAGCTGGGTAAAAGGAAAACTGCTCATCAAGATGGTTGTGGTCTGGAAAAAGAGAGCAATCTGAAACAAACGTTAAGAAGAATGCTCTGAAGTCAAAGAGAAAAATAGAAATAGGCTGGCTGCTTTATGATGAAGACCAACAGGCTTTTAAACAAGTAAGAGCAAGAAGAGGTGGTGGAACAAGGAAGGTTGATGTTTCAAAGGATGCTAAAAAAAGTGAGATAATCCAAATAGCTGTTGGCATTTTCTTTCCAAATGGAAGAAATAGAGAAGGGTCCATAGCAGATTTTGAAATAGATCTGAAAGATTATCAGGAAGTGGCAGTTGATGACAAAATCACTGTTGGACAAATGTTTCATGTTACAAAAACTGACTATTCTCAGGTTTTACCTGACCACCCATAAAAAGAAGGCTAACCAGTCAGTCAGTCAAGATGAAGTTTTGCCTTCACCATTTTTTCAGGATCAAGCCAGTTCTGTGAGTCGGCCCTCTTCTTCATCTGCTGTTAATGTTGCAATGACCAGCCAATCTACAATGTCCACAGAAGTAACTCCTGACTTTCTATTTATTGGAAACATAACAAATCATGACAATATAAACTTTTCACTTCAGTCTACAGAGCTTAGGGAGGAGGATTTGGATAGCAGTGGCATAGTGTTTCTAGGACCATTTTCTGACAGTGAGCCACAGATTTTGGACGATACTTTGCCAATATCCCCTCAATCCACATCATCTGCCAAAGCAGTGAAGGAGATACTGATAGTTCACAGAGGACAGGTACTTCCTGAGCTCATAGCACATTTCTGTGATGACAGACTTTTAGATAGAGACTTCAAAATCCAGCTAGTCCTGCCAGATGGAACTCCTGAGATGGGATATGATGACGGAGGAGTCGTCAGAGACTGTCTTTCTGAATTCTGGAAAGAATTCTATGACCAGTGTACTACAGGAAACACTTACAGAGTGCCTTTTCTGAGACATGATTATGGACAGAGCCAGTGGGAGAGTGTAGGCCGAATAATTGTTTTTAGATGGACAAGAGAGAAATATCTTCCTATGAAGATTGCACCTGTCATACTAGAGCAAGCAGCCTTTGGACAGGTAAAAAGTGATGTAGTGGAGAATTTCCTTAAGTGCATGCCTGAATCTGAGCGCTTTGTGTTTCAGTCATGGCAGTCAGACTTCAGCAGTGTTGACCAAGAGGAATTGATAGAGATTCTTGATAACTACAGTTGCAGACGAATGCCAACTGCCAGCAACGTAAATGAAATCCTCCAGGAGCTTGCACACAAACACTTGTCCAAGAGCCTGCTTATGTTATTGAACAGTGGGCCAAAACACTCAGTAACACCGGGAACAGCTTCCAGGATCTTTCTTCAGTGTATGAAAACTTACAACCAAATGCAAGAAAAGTTTTGAAGTCCATTGTCTTTCCTCAGGAAATGAGTGGTCATCAGAAGGACATTCAAAAGTATGTTAGCACATATATCAGGAACGCAGATTTGCAGCATCTGTCCTTGTTTCTAAGGTTCTGCACAGGTTCAGACCTGTTCTTGGATAAGAAAATTCTTATTGATTTTACAAAGATTCAAGGGTTTCTCAGAAGACCTGTGGCTCACACATGTAGCTGTGTCTCGAGCATCTCAATCTATTATGATAGCTATCCAGATTTCAGTGCTGAAATGAACAAGGTTTTGGACTCTAATGTATGGGTCATGGACATTATTTAAAGATTTTAAAGTGATGGAGGAAGAGGAAAAAAAGAGATTAAGGTGGCTATTTAAAGTAACAAGTTGCCTATCAAAATCTAAGTAGATGTTTTCCCCCAAAATTTCCTTATCAGAATTTAAGGTTTTACAGATAACAATTTACCAGGGTGATGTTACCATTCCCAAATTTCTACAGATGTTATAAAAAGGGATCACCTATTTGT